GGCTTGTGTAAGTGTTTTCTGGACGCACAGTACTGGATTCAATAGGCGTATAGCAGCAGGGGCTATATGCCTATTGAATCCAGTACTTTGCTGCCAGAAAACACTTACCCAAGCCCTGACTTCCCGTGGCCGAAACCGACGCCTGAAGGCGATTTCACATCACCCCCATCCAAAAGGAGCGGTCGCCCAACCAACATGCCGACCATTTGCGCAGACTGAAAAGTCCGCAATGGCCAATAGGCCTATAACCCTGAAATTATTGATTTTTGTACCTGTTCAAATTTCCTAGTTTGCAATGTTAATGACCCTGAAGAAGATTTGCCGAAAAGTGTACTTTGCCTAACAAAAAGTTGACTTTTCAAGTTAAAAAATGGGAATATTTAACGAAAGACAATCTATCAATGTTTAAATTTAAACTCCCCCTGTAACTGTATGGCCTGACGAGAAGTTACTGAAAGCGTACGCTCGCCAAAGTTTTATTCTGAACTTAATGTTTTTTAGCCATGTTAGTCGCGCTTCTGAAATCAAACGCGAGTTGTGCTGAAAACGTAATGTCAAAAAGCAAAATATTTATTTATAACGACGCTTTCATCATCCATACTACCAAATGCGCTTTGCACAAAAATTGGTGACGGTAACTGTGTTTGTCTAGTCCTTAAACAACGTTTATAACAGTTTGTGCAATAACCCAGTAAACATTCCAACAAGTTTTGTTAGGCAAATAGTGAGTTCCACTTAATCTAGTTTATGTATATGAGAAAAACGTTTCTGTCTTGAAAGACGTGTTTTTAGGTGAAATTATATCTTGCAATCAGTTCGTAGAATATGTATCTCGTTGGAAACAGGAAATAATTCGAAATAAATTCATCCATGTTAGGCACCTCAGTTCAAGGCGATCGTGTTTGCGCGATTATAACATTAAAGGATCAGAATTCAGTTGCCTTCGTTACGCGATTTGGCAACGTCTTCACAGTGCGCAAACCGGACTTTTCCGTAGTCAGCTCACTGCAAATTCCGGTGAGTAAAGCATACTTTTTTTCAAACGAAAATACTCCTTCGCTATTCATAATAAACATACACTGCATTCATAGCTGTCAGCCCTAGGAACTTGCTCAGGAAGCTTTTTGAAGTAATAGTGATAGAAATTTGTCTGCGCCGGCTTTTTAATCTATAGGAGAAATACGGCAAATAGTTCGCTATATAAGAAACATATTTGCAGAAGCCATGAAAATAATCTAACAGGATTTGCACCCTCTCCATAGAATCCAAAAATCATAGGACACAGAATATTAGAAAAGCATTTTAAAGGAAATGGGACCGGTTTTCTGGCTGTAAGGCTCAGTACGGGCCAGAATGAATTAACACTGATTATAGAAAAGAATGAGTTCCCGAAACGTCAGTCCAAATATATTCCAGTAAGTTACCTCTTCCCTTTTGCTTAATTTTCTTCGTTGGATGATAAACACGGTATATACATATATATGTTATTTTGGAAAATACTTCCCAAGATACCATCGCGGCAGACGTGCGGTGGTGCCTCAAAATGGGTTAACCTTCGAGCAATCTTAACTTCAGATTCATGCTTTAATTAGACTTTTGCACCGCCCATGTTGAACAGTTCTGTCGCGGTATGAAATAATTGAATAGGGTAAGCATTTTTGTCAAAATACCACATAAAACACCACACAGTCAGAAAATTGAGGCCCTGGATGAACATCGAACTGCCAAGCTGGAAATTCGCGACAAATACCCAGTCTCTTCAATTTCTGGTGCGAATTCGATTGAGCAAAAAATGAAGTTTCATCTGTGCGATTCGGACAATCGGCAACTGAAGGATATAGATAACTCCGGATTAGAACCTTTATGTCGTTAGATGAGGAGTGCTTCAATAAATCATCCAAGGACTTCTAGCTGTCGAATTACTCGTTTAGCCTCGCTTGACTTGGAAATAGTCAAAATACGTCATATGGAAATTGTTCAGTTGAAAATTCTTAAAGTTGGGAAAATAAATTTTGCGGACCGCGCTAACTGAGACAATCTAAAGTTTGATTTGCACCAGAAAGTTCTCTCTAGATTACTGGGCATCACGAATCCCTCTAACTGGAGCTCTTATAAAAATGGGAAGATTCCGAACTGACCACATCCGTGAATCTCCACGAGCCTCTCATTCCAAATTCGGAAAATTACGGACAATGAAGTACATTTTTTGCCTAACAGGATAGCGAACAGCTCCTGTATTTTTTATAAAAAAGAGTCAAGTTTTCGTTTCGCACAGTAAGGAACACCATGATCCATACAACGTAAAAGCTAAATTTATGGTTTAGTAGCCCATAATACTTATGCCGTCTTGCTAGATCCTGTATCAGTTTTTATCGAACCTTCAAGTCTGTAATAAAGCGATTATAATTCCCCGTTGTTGACAAAACATTCATGAAACTTCTGGTTCGCCTCGTGTGACTTTGCGTTAGTTTGTTTAAAAAATCCCCCCACATTTGTTGAGTATAAATTAATGTAGATTCCACTTAGGCATTAGATTGTACTGAAAGTTCACAGTCTCTTCTAACAAGTGGATGCGTTTCTATCCCTTCTGCCTGCTACAGAAAAATGTCTGGGTTTCTGGTGCCGCATATCTCCAACGTCTGAATCGAGCCCTCTTTCTGACAGGCAACACCCTAGAAATTGGAAAGCTTACCGGCATTTCCAATCCAGGCGTAAGTTGCTTGGTGTCTGGTTTTGCATTAGTCATTAATCTTTATTTAACACGAGGGCATCATTCACACATAGAGCTGTATCTTCGAGTTTACTTTTTAAAGTAATGATTACCGTGGACGTTTAAGTTGGACTAAAGAAGAAACGTCAGTTGAGGTAAGCCAAAGTCCCTTGAAACAAGACGCGGAGGAAAGGTTCGGAGCACAACTACTAATACAGGCATGCTTATTGAATGAAGAAAACACCATTTAAATTCGTAGGCAAATATTTAACTTCTTAATGAAGTTAGCGGACTTATTTCGGGAAAGGTGCAGATGTTAAATGCTAAACGTGTCGGAAAGCATTTTCTAGCAAAACGTGATTTGTTGTAGGAAGCCCGAGATCCTAAATCAACGTAAATACAGTTATTTCAATTCCATGCCTTGTGTTTGACTAGAACGCAGATAGCATATAGTTCATTTCTGATCTTAGTGCTAGAAGTCCAGCTCATCCTGGCCAAACGATAACTCGTTTTAAGTATTTGTTTACATGGAAGGAGAGTACTGTGATTTGCAACCACTACACGCCATACTGACTGACAAAGTAGCCGGATTTCTCTAAGGTGTCCTCCTAGTCGGATCATATAATAGCAAAATTTTGAACGTTACCGCCTTTTCTTTAAGGAAAAAATATTGATTGGACCATTCCCGGACACACTTACTTGCGTTGGTCTCATCGATACTTCCCTTCGAAGTAAATGGTTGATTGCTGGCAAAACAAGCAGTGATGCTAGGAAGGCTGTGCAAGTGGATGTGAGCACAATGGATACGATAGTATTTGGCGACGTCAAAGGCTGGCTACACTTCTTGAGCATCAGTCGCAAGGCCTTAGTAGAAGCGGAGTTGGTCAACAAAGCCACGATCCTACAAATGGCGACACTAAAGGACCAGACAATTGCGGATTCAAATTCGCAGACGCCAAAAAGGTACTTCGCACCCCGGAACAGACAGGTTTATGAGGAGCGGTTCCATGCCAAGGCCATTCCACCATGCAACTTTAAAAGGTACAAGTTTGCTAAACAATTTCTGCAGGCATGATACGCAGTGACCTTTCCGGATTCATGGTTGTCAGCGAAACTGCATAAACAAAAAGGGCATATGCATTTTAACTTATTAATTTGGCATTAAGTTTCTACCTTCAAATTATTTACGCTTAAAATTAAAGCCTCTTAAGATTTTATCCGTCCATATTTTTTAGAAAGTAGCTTCTGGAACCGCTTCCATATGCACCACGCCGAAGAAGTATTATTTTGGGTTGATCATCGCAGGTTAGGAAACCAATCGTTTCCGAAATACGCTACAGTGGTCATTTGCATGTGACATATGTTTGTATTACAGATTAGAAAGAAAACACCGTTGTTGCATCTTCTTTCAAAGGAAAAATGAGCTTATATATCACAGGATACACAGCAAACCCAAATCCGGCTGTTTAGCCTGATAGTTTATAGGCGCGTTTAGTTCTTCGTAACAAAGAAGGTTAAAGTTTTGTTCATCTCGACTGCACTTTCTTATACTTTTCTTCTATTGCCAGTGGTCTGTATCGTTCTGCTAGGCAATCTATGTTCATTTAGGGTATTTTTCATAAGACTGCATATTCTTCAAAAACAATGAGAACATTTGAAATATTCCGTCTGTGTGTCCGAAAAGTTTAGCAAACCAGAGTCAGCGAGTTTTTTTAGCATTTTACAGACCTACTGGCTCTAAATGCCCTACATTCTCCTGTATTCTATCGCCCTTATGTTTCAACTCACATGAGGCTATGTGGGTTGTAAAATACGGTATTCCTGAAGCAGTAGAACGAAGTTCACCAAACTATGGTTGATGTAAAAACAATTTGTAATACTAAAGGGTCTGGAACACGTGCATCCCAAGAAATTTAAATTTAAAGAAGACGTTCCTTTGGGATAAAACGACTTAAATGAGTGAATTTTCGAGGTTGGCACCTCAACTCGTCTTCGGACTAACAAGA